AGTGGTAAGTGGTCCTAGTTATCTGCATATGTCTTACTCTCCCTTAGTCCTTGGTTATCCATTACTGTGGGGGAGGATAGGTGTATGTGATACAACGTCCTACTAGTTATAGGTGTATAACAAGTGTTTGTTTATCAATTAGTAGCTGTCACTTTATTAGTAACTCTCCAAATATCTTGCAGTTGCCTCCGGAACAGACACCGTCCCACAAAATCATCTTTTGTTTGTCGGATGTGCGTCTTTCCAGCTCAGCCCTTCTGGCGGGGCACACGCACACACCTGCTTATACTCCGGCTGGCAGAGTAAAGCGCTTTCCTCACCGGAAGCCTGAATGCAGACTTCCAGGCCAGCTTATAAAATAAAATGTTTTTAGCTAGATATTGAACTAACTTCCATGAAGATAATTTGTAAAACCAAACAATAAGAACTCCTTACTTATATGTACTGTTTCTTAATCAGGTCGTTTTTCTCAACTGATAAAAACGATACTGAGGCCATGTTTGGGTCATTATAAGGCCAATGACAAGGTTAAAGGGCACTGTCTCCAAGACACTAACTGCAAGTTCAGGGTGTTCCCCAAACCACCCTCAGGTTCAGTAATTGCACAGAAAGACTTACAGATCCCGCTGAAAGCTATTATAGTCACAATATTGTGACTATATATATACAGGGAAAGGCTATCAACCAAAGGAAGAGACACAGAAGGCAGAGTCAGAAGTTTCCAGGCATGAAGCTTCCTCTGTCCCCTCCCTTTGGAGTCAGAATTTGTTACTGTACTCCCACTGGTGTGTGACAACACACATGGATTGTGCCACCAGGGAACGTTACCTGAGTGTGTCCAGAGTTTTTATAGGACTTCATCACGCAGGCATGACTGATTGATTGCCCACATGGTTAATCTCTGTCTCCAGGTTGATTGATACCCCATGACCTAAAGCTTCCACACTAAATCACTTGGTTGGTCTTTCTAGAGTGGCCAGTCCCCACCCTTGGGTTATCTGGTGTGGCCAACCTTGCCCTAATGAACAAAAACACTCCTATCGGGTAGGACAGAGATGACCTTCTTACCTAAATGTCAGGACTAGATCATGGAATCCTGGAAGTTCTGGTTACTTGCTGTCAACTCCAGCTCTTTTCAGTCTGCCGTCCACTTTCAGACCAAGGTCTGTGACTCTTGCTGGTGAACTCTATGAATTTATTACCAGAGTTAATTTAGAATATTGGGATCATTGAGTCCTGATATAAAGAGGAAGAAATCTGGCCCATGTCTTGCAGGTACCTCATCCCTCTTCTTCCAAAGAACCCCATCTCTCTTGTCACATAGTAGTTGCTGATCTCTGAGCATGCTATGATAATCCACGACTCTATGCCCTTTGTTTATATGGTTCCTTTACAGAAATGCCTGCCCACTTGTCCAGCAGACCAGGCAGACTTATTTATCCTGAGGACTCAACTCAAATTTCTTTTTCTGTAATTTTTGTGCATTGCTTTCCCATAAAGAATCCATAGGTTTTTTTTGTAAACCTCTGTTATCGCTATGTCTTTGATTGACTATTTGTGCCTCTTGTTAAAGATCTGAGGGTGGAAATGCTGTCTTTTTTCCTCTTTGTATCCTTAGCACATTACTGGGCAGAGAGTAACTCAATAGATTATTACTGAACTGAAGATATGGAGACATTGAATCCTTAGAGTTAACAGAAGAGAGAGGTCACATTTATCAGTTGTAATAGGTCATCTTAAATAGAGAAAAAAAACTCTTTTCAACTGAAGTATTTAAATCATTAAAAGTTGACCCTTCGTTTTAGGTAATAAATGACCCAACAAATTTAATTATAAAAGAGGGATTTTGACAAAAACTTCACCTGTGCTTAAGTATCAGCACCTGACTTTCTGCATAATTTATTTCTGTGTTATGTTTGTGGTCCCACGGCCTGGGCTGGCTGCTGTTGGTTGCGAGAGGACTGGATGGGTAGAGGAGATGGATGAGGTCCCCGACTGAGGGTTGTGAACTCCAGTGGGACAACGCCAGACACTTTCCTCTGAAAAAGAAAGCAAGCTCTGAGGTCAAAAAGACAGGTTTTTTTTATTTTTGACCACTCAGGGAAAGAACTGTGCACCCTGTTCTTCAGGTATATTTGTTAAGCTCTTGTGTCCCCTTCACAGCTTTCTTTGATGCATGCGGTATATGGAGATGGAGGAAAGGGAAAATAGAGAAGGAGAAAAAAATTAAAATGTGTTTTAAATAATGTGATTCAAAGTGACCTACATTCTACTCCCTGAACACCAGTGTTTTGGGCCATTTAGGCTCTCTGCTGGTGCCTTTTCAGGACAGTATGCAGTGGATTGCTGGTTTGGAAAGGTGGGTGGGAACTGGAGATCTTAAAGAGGGTGGCCGCCTAACTCAGCAGATTGTCAGGTGAAGCGTCAAAGAAAATTGAATTTTAGGAAGACAGCCGTTACGTCTCAGGTTGCCAGTCCCAGTTTGTGCTTGCTGTCCCAGCATAATTATTAATAGTGCCCCATTTGATTCTCAAAAGTGTCCTGGGTGGAATGGCCACCCTCGTTTTAGGTCATGCAGAGTGGAGGATATTGGTGTGATGAACGGGCAGGACAAAGCGGGCTCGAGGGAGGATTATGAGGGCAAATTCTGTTCAGGCTTTTCCTTAAAAGGCTTCTCGTGCTTTCTGAAATGCCTTGCAGACTTGTGACGCAGGTCTCATCAGCAGCTTATTTTTCTTCAGTGCAGCTTTTACGGGGCCAGTGTGTCTCGGCGCAGCCTGGATTTCTGTTAGACCCGTGGGCAGCGGTGCTGCGTGCGTGTGTGCTCCAAGCCTGAACAGATTGGCTGGGAGTGGGGTGATAAGAATAGAGAGGAGCACATACCACTAGACCAAACTTCCTGTGCACCAGCCTTTGAATACTGTTTCACTGTCTGAAATAGCATCCATCTTAAGTCTGGGATCGTTTATTCCCTCTGGAATTAAGCAATAGCACTGGCAGCAGAAGAAACTATTTTGGGAAGGAGAGGTGGGAGGAATTTTGCTATGTATTATAGAAATACTTGTCATGCTTTTGAAGACCACACTTGTTCATTAGTGCCCTGGTGAACAGAAACTGCTAACTTTCTAATAATCCCAAATGTCATGAACGTCAAGGCTGATGCATGAAGATTAGCAAAGACTGAGTTTAGATGCTTCAACTTAAATCACCTTACATGGCAGAAAGAGAACTTTTCTTTGGAGATTAGCCTCTAATGCAGATACTCTTGAGAAGGGGTAAATTGCAACATCTTGTTCCTGTCCCTTCCTCATATGTGCCCTTGCTCTTGTTTCTGCATATGCCCATGCAGACCTTTCTAGATTGTTGGAGAAGTTTAAATAACGCAATGAATGCTGTGTCTCCCCTACCCCCCGCTCCCTCCCCACAACGCTGAGGTGGGTAGGGCTTGGCAGCTGGTGGCAGCTGCGGAGATAAATAAGCACCAAGGCTCCTGGATGGACCTGTGCTGACATGCCTGGGATGAGGTGGAACAGCTCTGAGTGCCTTCCGTGCGGCGAGGCCATGAGGACGGAGCGGCAGCTGGAGTCCAGAAGTTCAGGCAGTGAATGGGAGGTGGGGGCTTCGAAGAACCAGCTTAATAGTCCGTTTGATCGAGCTATTGCATTTTTTGGTTGGGGAGAGTACTTTAGAGGACAGATAAAAGTCATTTTATTCTGTTTGGTCATTATAACGAATGTATTTAATGGAAACCAGGGAATTGTGGTAGTCTGTTTCTATTTGACGTTTCTATTTGATCCCCTTCAACTAATAAAGAGTGAACTGCCTTCAGAATTTTCTCTTTACAAATTTGCTGCGATTAGAAATGAAAAACAGCAGCCCGATCTGCTTAGCATTTTTCTGTTTTATAACTGATGACTAGTTTGGAAAAATGTTTTTCTGTGGAAGGCTTTTGAATTCTCTTTTCAGTGTGGTAGATGTAATCACAACAGATTTTTTTTTTGGCTATTTTTTTTTCTTTTCATTTTGGCACTGGAATTAATGTGAGAGGCGAAAGTGCTGATGATGAGTATTTGTAAATTATATCCCCTTGTTCACAAATGTATAGTTAATGTACTTAAACTCCAAATCAGAAATAACTACCTGTTTTGCATGGGACCTTGGTGAAATGTCAGTTAGTGGTACCATTATCTACATCAATGGCATATGTATTGATTTTTTAAAAAATAAATAAACTGTCATTCTATTTTCCAGCTAAATGAATAAAAAATTTAATGATCTCACAATTTGAAATATGTTGATGTCCTGTATCTGGACATGATGTTAAATGTTTATTTTCTTACAACATTTTAAAAATTAATTTAATTATTCATATGAGAAATTGGTGGAAAAGACCTTTACATGGTGATAAGACAAAAAAAATTGAAAAACGTGAAGTATTTCAAGAAAAAAAGTTGAAGATCCCATATGCCTTTTAAATTAAAACTTTTTTAAAATTAAAACATTTTTAAAGTAGTGTTTTCCTTTTGTGTGTCTAACAGTAGAATATCTCTATAGGAAACAGACAATTAATTGTAAGTGTAAACATTAAGTCTACAGTGATGAAAGAGCTAGATATTGTTGAAGGTAGGTAATAAAGAGAAGGAAGAGGGTGAAGATTTTTAAAGGGAAATCTTAAAAAACTTTTGAAATATTTGGAGCATTGATAAATCAAAAAAAGGCTCACTGGGTGCCAGTATGTGCTAGGACCAGCACTAGGGTATACAGGTATAAGGGGCAACCAGAATTGAGTTTGGAAGGAAAGTCAGGCATTGTAAACCCAGGTTTCATCTGCAGCTATAAATGGGTTTATCAAAGATGATGGAAAATCATCACCAGCTGAGTATCTGTGTGGTTGTCTGTGTGGGTTGAAAGCACCCGTAATCCCAGCCTCTCTTTAGTCTTCTTGTTTGGAGCTGTCTCCTTCTCAGAAACTCACTGACCTTCCCTCCTCTGTGTTCTAGGAGAGACAGCGTCTGGAGACCATCCTCAGTCTCTGTGCTGAGTACACAAAGCCTGACAGCCGCTTGTCCACTGGCACCACCGTGGCAGATGTGCAGAAAATCAATAAGGAGCTGGAGAAGCTGCAGCTTTCTGACGAGGAGTCTGTGTTTGAAGAAGCCCTGGTGAGCCCTGACACCAGATACAGGTGCCACCAGAAAAGCTCTCTCCACGATGCGGACCTGGCCGTCTTTGGGAGCCTCAGTCAGAGCAGTGCCAGCTTCCTTTCCCCCAGGAGCACCAGGAATGATGAACTGCTCAGGGACCTCACCAGGACTCCCCCACCACCCTCCTCTGCCTTTCTGAAAACTTCCAGCGAGTCCACGTACCTAAGTATCCTACCAAAGGTAAAGCTGGCAGGGCCCAGAGACTGGGACTTAGGACCTAGGGCCGTGCATCTGCACTGGCCTGGACCTTAGAGGTTTATCACGCGTGTTTTCCAAAATGTTTTCAGTGAAGCTTCAATTTAAGAGGTAATTAGCTAAACATGGCACAGCAAATTAGAATGTTTACTATAAAGTAACAAATTTGCACTCTGGAAAATGTAGCAGTGCAGAAAAGTAGAAAGAGAAAAAATTCTCTTCTCCCTGCCCCCTTCCAGTTGTACACCTGAGAGAGAAGCACAAAGTGTCTGACATGCCTTCCCAATATTTCTGTGCACAGCCATATATTACAAACATAGACACACATATACATATGCACAGTGTTCTGCATGACTTTTTCCCTCCCTGAATGTCTTGAGCATCTTTGCATATCACTATACACAGCTCTGCCTCATTCTTATTAATGGTTGACTAGTATTCTGTTGTTTGGAAATATTATTTAAATTGTTTCTAGCTTTTTACTAATAAAATCTATAGGCAGCAAACATTCTAGAATATATATATTATATTAGTACAGTTGTGCAAATGTATCTGTGGGATCACTTACTAAAAGTGAAATTGGTAGATCAGAGAGTTTGCATGCTATTTGTTTTAATCAAATTTCCAAATTATACTCTCAAAAAATTGTATTTCCTGGTGACACTTTGAGTAACAGTTTATACGTGCACCTTGTTCTTCATACACTTGGCAAGGTTGTGTATTATCAAAAATTTTCAATTTGCTAAGTTAATGGTATTTTAATTTGCTTGCCTATAATTATGCATAAAGTTGGACATCTTTTCATATTTTTAGTTGTTAATTTTTATTTTGACACACTCATGTTCTTCACTCATTTTGGGGGACACCTTTTTTTACTTATTATTTATTTAACTTTTTAAAGTATTGTTGATTTACAATATTAAATTAGTTTTAGATGTGCAATATGATGATTTAATATTTTTATAGATTATTCTACATTTAAAGTTATAAAATATTGGCTATATTCCCTGTTTTGTACAATATATCCTTATATCTTATTTATTTTATACATAGTTTTTGTAACTCTATTAATCCCCTACCCGTATCTTGCCCCTCTTCCATGCCTCCCCCTACTGGTAACCACTAGTTTGTCCTCTATATCTGTCAGTTTGTTTCTGTTTTGTTACGTTTGTTTGTTTTATTTTTTTTAAGATTCCACATATAAGTACCAACATATAGTATTTGTCTTTTTCTAGCTGACTTATTTCACTAAGCATATCCTCCAGGTTCATCTATGTTGTTGCAAATGGGAAAATTTTGTTCTTTTGTATGGCTAAGTAATATTCCATTATGTATATATACCAGATCCTCTTTATCCATTCATCTGTTGATGGACACTTAGGTTGCTTCCATATCTTGGCTATTGTAAATAATGCTGCTGTGAACACTGAGGTGCATATATTTTCCCAAATTACTTTTCTTTTGCTTTGGGTCTATTCCCAGGAGTGGAATTGCTGGATCATATGGTAATTCTCTTTTCGTTTTTTTGAAGACCACTATGCTGTTTTCCACGGTGGTTGCACCAGCTTAAATTCCCACAAACAATGTAGTAGGGTCCCTTTTTCTTCATATCCTTGCCAACATTTGTTATTTGTGGTCTTTTTGGCGATAGCTATTCTGACAGGTGTGAGGTGATATCTCAGTGTGGTTTTGATTTATGTTTCTCTGTTCATCATTGATGTTGAACATCTTTTCATGTGCCTGTTGGCCATCTGTATGTCTTTGGGAAAATGTCTGTTCAGATCTTCTGCACGTCATTGTCTTCCATTCAATAGATTGTCTTTTCATTTTGTCGGTGGTTTCCTTTGATATGCAAAAGCTTTTAAGTTTAATTAGTTCCCATTTTTTGGGGGGGGACCTAATTAAATTTTGGTGGAGACTTTAGAGTTTTGTGTATGTGGTCATGTCATCTGCAAACAGTGACAGTTTTTCTTCTCTCCTTCCAATTTGGATGCCTTTTATTTCTTGTCTGCTTGCCATGGCTACAGCTTCCAATACTATGTTAAATAGAAGTAGTGAGAGTGGGCATATTTGTCTTCTACCTGATTCTAGAGGAAAAGCTTTCAGCTTTTTACCATCGAGTATGTTGTTAGCTGTGGGTATGTTGAGATATAACTTTATAGGAGTTCTGTTGTCTTTGTCTTGTAGGTGTACTCTTGTTGTCTTGTAGATGTATTCTTGATGTGTTTGTGAGGGAGGTGAGCTCAGCATCCTCCTGTTCCACCATCTTGATATCCCTTGTCTTCCTCTTCACCCATTTTAAAAAAAAATGTTTTGTCTTGTTTTTACTCAGTAGTTGGAACTATTGATGGTAAGGAAATCAAGGAAATTAGTCCTTTATCATGAGTGGTCTTCCCTTTGACTTTATTATTGATTTTTTGGGGGTGTCTAGGAGCTTAACATTTATATGTAGTCATAATTATTACTTAGTTTTCTGGTTGTTGTTTGCTGATCTAAACATGTCTTCCAAATTTGAGAATCTCTTAAAAAGATTTCAAGTAAACTCTTTTGGTATTACTTTTTTCAACAAGTTAAGAATATTTTTTTCTATGAAATTAAAAAAAAATCTATTTCCCTACCCATTTTCTAGAAAGTATTTGAGACTGTATAATAAAAGATATAAATTTTATTAGAATAAAATTAGAACACCAAAAATATTGTATAAGAGAGAAGTTACCATAATCATAAGTATTTATTTATTCAAGGATAAATGGGATTGGTTAATTTATTTAAGTAACTCTGACCATTAAGTTCAACTCTGAGATTCTTGGCAATCATGCCCAAAGAACAAATAATTTTTTAAAAGTACATTAATTAGTTTTTTTTTAAGAGAAGAATACATACTGATTCTTTTAAGAGAAAGATGCTATCATTGTACTAAATTCTCCAGGTAGTTTATCACATGGAGTATTACTTAGGGGAGTTTGTGTCTTTGTTTTTACTTTTGTTTGTTTGGCTGCAGCAAGACTTGTGCACTGAATGTTCCTAGTCAGAAGTCCTTACCTACCTCTTGAGTTCTCCCATCACATGTATCAGGACTCTGGACCATTCAATCCTTCTTTCTTTTAATGACCAAGTTTGCCTTCCTGATTCTCAGTGGAGAGTGATTATGAATAGGACATCTGTCCCTATTGCCAGAAAGTTGCAACTGTTAGATGCTAGGATCTGGGGTAAAAATCAAAAGTTACTGGTGTTGGGCAAAGTAAATGACCCCTCATTTAAACATTTGATCTGTTGTCATCAGCCATTGGGCTTCCTTCACTTTCTTTTCATTGTAAATCCTTTCATATTTCTTCCTTCATGGAGATCTGGAGACTTTTGTTAAAATGGTGACCCGCGTGCTCTAAGGACTGACTTTTGGGAGACAAGTTCCCTCCTGAAGAGGGCTGTGACAAGAAAGCTGTCGAAGTATCAATGAGCAGATCATGACAGATGCTCTCCATCGCTCAAATCTGCCTTTGTGGAATAGGAGGCCTCTGCAGCTTGGAGGAGCCTCCCTGCGGCAAGTGATAGAAGACTGTGCCTCTGTTAGAGACAGGAGATGTCAAGGGCACCGCTGGGTACCGCACAGCGGCTTAGACAGCATGCAGCTGAGAGCATGATAGGTTCCAGGGAATGGGTTTTTCATGTATTGCATTTTGAAGACCTTGAGACAGGAGATAGAGGAGATCATTTGTAAAGTCCTGATTATTTGTTTTAGATGCTCTTCCTCTGAGTAATCTGCTCACTGGATTATTTAGAGTATAGTGTTTGTTGTTAACTGATCTGAGGATTAATGGAGAAGAGAGGAATGTGAAAAACACTCGAAACTGATTTAATGAAACAAAAATTTTAATGATATTTAGGAAACTTAAGATATACCATTCTAGACTTTTCTTTACCTAACGCAAAGATGCAGGTGACCAAAAAATTGCAGATGACCTTGGAAATATGTTCATTTCAATTGCCTTTTGTGAACCTGTCTACCACCATCTGAGGTGAAAGGCAGGTATAGCTTACTCTTCTCTTTTTTGTTTTCATGCAATTTAAAAAAGAATTTATTGAAGTATAGTTCAGTTTATAGCATTGTGTCAATTTCTTGTGTACGGTCCATGCAGTTTTGGGATATAACTGACACACAGCACTGTATAAATGTAAGGAATACAGTGTAATGACTTGACTTACATAGTTTGCAGAATGATTACTGCAATAAATTGTTAATGTCCATCACCTCATATTTTTGCCAAAAAATGTTTTTTCCCTTGTGATAAAAACTGTTTGACTCTTTTCTTCATGAGTAATCATTCTGTCTACAGTGGAAAGTCCTCACACCTGCAACCTTCTCTGGTCATAGGAAGTTTCTAAGAAGAAATATACCCCCCCTCCCAAAAAAAGGTGGCTGCAGAGTGTGTTGTCCCAGCCCTCTCCTATTTCTGTGTGTGTTTGTGTGTGTGGCAAGTTACCCTGAATACGGCATATTTGGGGATGCACATACATGTGCTTTTATCCAAACACGTCACTCTCAGTGAAATCCTATCCATTGCTATAAAAAAAAGTCCCAGATAGATTAAAATTTCACCTTTTTCTGTCACCATAAAACTAAAGCTACCACACCCTTGGCTCTCTATTGTTTTTTTTTTTAATTTGTATATAAATGAGATTACAGTATCCTCATCCCATTCTATTACAAACCAAAATTTTAGAGTGCCTTTTGAAGATTTTTGCTTTTTATAAGTAACTTAACAGTAAAAAAAACACAGTCATTTCCTAGATAGCATTTATTGCTACAAACTCTCAAGTTGTCTATTATTAAATATACCTATCATGATAAATTTTCTAGAAACTGAGTTATATAGATATTAATAATTGCCACTTTTACTTATCTTTATAGTTTTGCAGATTGTTCAGTTTTTGTTTTCTCTTAATGTTCTGCTTCCACCAATGAGAGAGATATTTTTAAACCATGTTGGAAGCTGAAACCTAATATGAACTGTTGACCCGACAGGATACTGGCCTTCTTGAGGCTTTCCTGCTAGGATTACTCATCAGTGATTTAGGAATGCCATTCACTGTTGCAGGCACCCCTCATGCCCTAAAACAGGCAGCCAAGTATTAGGTCGATGAGATTCATTGTCTGTGAAAAAAGGTCAGCTATTGTTTCATTAGTTGATAAGATTTAAGAGGACAATTAAAAAGTGGAATGTCAAAGATTGGAAGGCCTGCATACCTTTTCTCTAAATCAACCTGACATATGTGACTTCTCAATGGTTTCATCTCCTTGAACAGCAAAGTAGGGTAAAAAGAATAAAGAATATGAATAAAGAATCTGACAAGATCCCTATCTTCTTAAAGTGATTTTTAGGATTGTTAAGCATAGTAAATGAACTTAATGAGGTACACAGAATTTAAATGGTTTCTTTGGTTAATTTGAATATTCTTTTCAGTGGTTAGTGAGTATTCTTCAATAATTTACTTAACGGGGCTGCTGTTTTCAATTTCCAATTGTGGAATGATATAATTATTGACTTCCTGATGCAAAGAAATTACCTCTTTTTCAAAGAGAGATAAAGTTAAATAAATAATATCCCACTCCTGATACTTTCTGATTTCCAGAAAGACTGGTCTCCACCAAGTGATATCCAAGGTAACTAACCTGAAATTCTTGAAAGAAGAAGCTGTTTTCAATTCACTTTATTCTCATCTTAAAATATTCGGCAGTCACATTTTGACCGTGTGTATGATCTAAATACTCTTTTCTTTGCTGGGCATTTGTTACAACTCTGTTCAGGGGTGTAAGTATGCCTTCTCTCACTTAATTTCTTTCATGACGTTCTCATTTCTTGTTAAAGAACTCAGTTTTTCCGTGAAATAGTTTTATGAACAATGGCCAGTATTCTATTTTATTTTACAAAAGCCCATTGGCCCAGTTAGTCTTATTCACTACATAGGAAGAAGGCCCTTAGTATAAAGACTAGGAAACAGTGTGCTGGTGCAAAAAGTGAAACATGAATTAACATAATATTAATGATGTAGTTTTAAATCATTTTGGAGGTCACCAAAGTAATAAAGCCTATATTGTCCTGGTTACTAACTTTGGGGAACATTTCAGTGAGATGGGGACAAGTGCCACGTGTCCTTCTTTTCCACCTTGTGTTGGAAAGGAAATAAATATGATTGCTCATTTGCAGATAATCCTAGCAGTGGGACCCAATGGAGATTCTAGAGTCTGTGTAGGAGATGCACTTACCTGGAGATGGGAGAGAAAATGGAGCTTGTGATGAAGGTAGCAGCATGCCCAAGAGTCATCCCTAAGGAAAATGCCAAAAATCTCATCTAGATTCTAGTTCTCTGTTCTGCCAAACGTTGTCCTTAACCTAAGGGAAGGTGCTACAATCTCCGTGGGCCACAGCTTCCTCTTAGTCACTTGGCTCTTAGTTATTTTGCCTTTAGAAGGATATGACTTTGTACACTGAAGCTGGTTTGTAGGAGCTAACCTAAGAGCCTACCTGCTGAGGCTCCATGGGAAAAGGCAGAGTTCTGAATCAACAGTCATGTGGATGCTTTTGAATCCAAACAGACACAGACTGTGAAGCGCTAGACTTGTGACTGTTTTTTTAACTAGGAAATTCTGGAATTGAAGTGTGAATTTTCTGTGTTTGTTCATTAATCACAGACACCAGAGGGTCTGAGTGAAGAACAGAGGATTCAGGAGTTGACTGCGATGGAAGAGTCCCGGATAGCAATTCTGAACAACCTAGAGGAGCTTGAACAAAAGGTCAAAGATATAAATGACCAGATGGAGGAATCTTCCAGAGAGGTATAAACCACGAGTTCACGTGTTCCCTCTCCCTTTTTCCTTTCTTTCCTTTAGCTTAAATATATCAATGCCTATTAGGGCACAGGCCTTGGGAGGCAGAATGCATAGAAGTCAACATGAGCAAATATATGTTCAGTGGATACATGTATGGGTAAAATTGCCTTGTTTTAAACTTTTTTTTGAGGTATAGTAGATTTACAGTGCTAGGTTAGTTTCAGGTGTACAGCCAAGTGATTCAGTAATACGTATACATATATATTCTTTTTCAGATTCTTTTCCATTATAGGTTATTACAAGATATTATGTATAGTTCCCTATGCTATACAGTAGGTCCTTGTTGTTTATCTGTTTTATGAACAGTAATGTGTATATGTTAATCCCAGACTCCCAATTTATCCCTCCCCTCCTTTCTCCTTTGGTAACCATAAGTTTGTTTTCTATATTTGTGAGTCTATTTCTGGTTTGTAAATAAGTTCACTTGTATCTTTTTTTTTTTTTAGATTTCACATATAAGTGATATCATATGATATTTATCTTTGTCTGGGTTAATTCACTTAGTGTGATAATTTCTAGGTCTATCCATGTTGCTGCAAATGGTATTATTTCATTCTTTTTTATGACTGATATTCTATTACATGTGTGTGTATATATATATATCACATCTTCTTTATCCAGTCCTCTGTTGATGGACATTTAAGTTGCTTCCATGTCCCGGATATTCTGAATAGTGCTGCTATGAACATTGGGGTGCATGTGTCTTTTCGAATTAGAGTTTTCTCTGGGTATATGCCCAGGAGTGGGATTGTAGGATCATATAGTAACTCTGGTTTTTTAAAGAACCTCCATACTGGAAAGTGCCCTTTTTTTACGTTTCCCTCTTCCTTCTGTTTCTTTTTTTTTAATCCAATTAGATGCACATATGAAGCCATTTTTAATGTACGTGTTGTATAACCAACTTTGTCTTAACTAGTATATACTTTCTGACCTGCTTCAAGATCTGTCAGGTGATGTGCCATGTATTTAGATGTTTAAGTTCAAATCCAAGAGACATTTTCTGAGCATGTTAAATATGAGTTGGGTATCATCTTGACACTGCGGGGAAATTTACATGTGCACCAAACATAGACCTCACTTTCTAGAGGTTTACAAACCAGGGAGGAGACAGACATATTCTATAATTGCAATTAAAGAAAGAGGCAATTTTTTTAACACCTCCATCAACTGAGGCGGGGCGGCTGACTCTGCCTAAGAAGGATTTGTGTGTGTCTGTACTCACAGATGATGCAGGTAGCCCATGAGTGGGAGGGGACTGCTCAGCTGTCATCTTCTGCACAGACCCTGGAAGCCCCTCCTGCTGGCGTCGCTAGGAATGCAATGCTCGCATGCTGGGCTGAGTGTAATTTTCACTTCCCGTGCTCTGGGAACAAACAAAGACGTGGCCGCTCCCAAGATGGTTCATACTTGAGCCTGAATCTAAGCGAATAGGCAAAATACCCTTGAGAAGTAAGCAGAAAAGGGGTTAGCACAGAAAAATTAAATTAGAAGATAAGCAGTGCTCTTAGCAAGTATATTCTGGCCTCTCCTTTCCGATACAGGAATCCTGAGTCTCACATGGGCTCTGTGGAGTGTTCCCTAAGTTCCACAGTCTGGCTAATAACGGTAGTACTTCCTGAAATTTATCACTGTTAAAAATACACCTCTAAAGTGGGCAGCTGAGAAATTTCCCTGAAGATGAAACACCTCTGAGCTTTGTTTTGTGTCCTCAGTTGGATATGGAATGTGCTCTCTTGGATGGAGAACAGAAATCAGAAACAACCGAACTCATGAAAGAGAAGGAGATTTTGGATCATCTAAACCGGAAAATAGCAGAACTGGAAAAGAACATTGTTGGTGAAAAGACCAAGGTAAAAGAAACCTATATTTGAATGCTAATTTTATGGGCAAGATGGTGGTCCCCTTTGATTGAATTTAAATGTTGTATGAGTTACCATGGTTTGGGATTTGTGTGTCATGTTCCCGGAGACAGTGGCACCAGAAACAAGGCCTAAGATGAGGTAAGTTGTCGCAGACTAAGAGCCATCAGGTACAGAGCAGCTGAGGCTGAAAGAGTGGCCCCTGATCTTTAACTGATAGTCATGGTGGTGTATCTGCTGGAGATGAGTGAGTAGCTTTTTTCCATCAGCCTTTCTGCTCTTCTGCTTCCACTTTGTTTTTAAAGAATCATTTTAGTACTTTGGAATTTATTTACCATTGATGTCCTGTAGGGATGGCTTAAGCATATTCAGGTATGGTTGCCTCATCTCTTTTCATTTTTCTGTTTATTAAAAAGATGAATGAGAACCATGCATCTCATCTGTCTCGCCTTGCCATTGGCTTCAATGCAAGTGCACTGCTCTTGGGAAGATGCATTGCAGTCTTCAGGGGATCCTCACACAAGGCCAAGTGAAAACTGTCTGTGACACAGTTGACACTTATTTTAGAAAAAACCTTACACATTTCAGGCCACAACCTGAATGTTGGCCAATACCTCCTAGAGAAAGTATAAAAAACCTCTTGCAGTTTTTAGAATTCAGGATGGCAGTTGAGTTTTTTATTGTTGTTGTTTTGTTTTTCTGTTTGTTTATTTTCTCTGGGAAATATTTCACTTACTCTCCTCTCATATTCTGAGGTAGTTACAGCTAAACTAAGCCTAAATTAAAAATTAAAATTCTAATTTGGGAAAGAAAAGAGCAAGTGAGCTGTAACACATTCTTTCTTGCTCATCATGTTCTCCATTAACATAAGAAAAAGAAAAAAAATTCAGTTTGAATAAATTTGAGTGATAATATGTGGAAAAGATTTCTGCTGAATGTGGCTTCCTTTGGGGGCTTCTCTTTGTTTGAGGCCTATAAATAAGGGCATTTGATCTTGGTGCCAGAGAGTGAGCTCAAAAAGATACTGTTAGAAATTGAAATCAACTTAAAAGCTCCGTATCAATTTCTTGGTTGCCTGCTTGTCAAGATTAAACCGCATATCTTTTTCATATTAAATTTTATGTATGTTCGTTCTAGCTCCAGACTTTGAAGTAGGAAAGAATCCATTTGGGTAGTGGGTATATTTTCCTGTAAAAGCTCAAAAGCTGTACCAAAGGATTGATTGTCTAGTTCTGCCGCCCAGGAGGATTATGGCTTTCAAAGATTCTGCACTGATACAGCATGAAACTTTCACTGGAAGAATCAAATGTCTCTGTTTTGGTGCTTATTAGTATTTTACTATTTATGTCATACTGGGAAACTTGTGGGACAGAGGAATCGGTTGTCAAGTTCCCTCTGAACCTGTCTGCCTTCTCCATCCAGGTAGCTGTTCATCTTTGTGTAGCCCACATATGACGTGGCCTGTACATTCTGTTTGTCTGTCATTAGCATCAGATTCTAACAGAAGTGAAGCAAATTGAGTCAATACTAAATCTCACTTCCCAGGGACAGTTGTGTAGTATTTTCCAGACCTAAAGTAAAGGCGGACCTCCAGGAACATGGGTGGAAACAAGCAAGGAGGCCACCCACATCTTTCCTATTATTGTGTCGGTGGTTTGGGAGAGGCCGTGCATGGGAGAGGGGACGGTGGGGGCTTGAAGTATGGAACCAACTCATGCAGCTGTCAGGGGATTAGTTGGTCTCGGAAGATGGGATTATTGTCTGTCATCACATGGTGTGAAAAATGGCAGAAACTGGCTTTGGGTGAGGGATTCCAGGGGAGAATGAGGGAAGTGGGAACAGACCGGGCTAGATGATATTACTGCAGATTCTTGACAACCAGACTCAAATAGAGACTCCATGCGGCTTGGCAGCATTACTGTTTCTCACATAAAGTTATTCCACCATTTCATGGCACGGCTATTTCATACCTTTGCTCTGTTCAAACTTCTGGTCCACTTTCCCCCCCTGGCTCTGAGATGATCTCACCACCTACTTCAGTGAGAGATTAGAGCATCCTCTCTTCCCAGCTAAGGCAGGCTCTCTCTTCCCCTCAAAGATCTGTCCCTTAAGGTGTGCTCAGAGTGCCAGCTCTCTGTCTTGAGGTCTTCAGTCCTTCTGTGCCCCACTCCCCCCAGCTTCTCCCTCTTTACTGGTATTTATTGTCAGTATGTCAACATTATTTTTATAATTATTATTATTTTAAAATAAAATTCCTTCTAGCAACTGCCTTAGCTGGTTTCTCTTCAGCATAACCAAGCTTTTCAAATAGTCTTCTCAGTGCACCGTGTGTCCTCTTCCTCAGTTCCCAGTTAACCATTCCTTCCATCCTTGTTCTGCTGCTCCATGGGATTTGCTCCTGTTAAGACCTCACTGCTGCCTCGTCCACCCACTGGGCGCTTTTCCGTCCTCTTGTGATCTGACCCCTGGGCTGCAATCGAGACGGGGGCAGCTCTTTTCCTTGGCACTTCCCCTCGCCTCCCCCTCGCCTCCATGTACCACACTCTTCTGGTTTTCCTTCTCTTTCTCCTACTTACCTCTCTGACTTCTCCATCTGAGTTCCCTTTTCTTCTTCCTCTGCCCTAATCCAACCAGTCGTTAGAGTGTTTGTCTCTAATCTGAACCCTTGTCTTCTTTTTTCTCTTTCTTTAAAGCAAGCTCAGGCTTTCCCGGAAGTCCACAGAAAAATTCTGCTTGCTCTCATTGCTCTGAACTAAGATATATGCCTTGAATCCTTCACTCTTTTAAAAAATTGACATATAATTGACATATAACATGATTTTAGTTTCAGGTGCACAGCATAATGAGTCGATATTTGCATGCACTGTGAAATAATCACCACAGTATGTCTGGTTAACATCTGCCAGCTCTTGTTGAGACCTCTCTTCTCTTATACTCTCACATTCTTTTATAGTCATGGCTTTAAATAACCTGCACGTGCTGGTGACTGTGCGAATGTACGTCTTTAGCCCACAACCCTTTTCTGGACGTCTGACTCAGATCCTGTTGCCTACCTGACATCTCCACTGAGATATTTCACTGGTGTGTCCAACTCAACTCTCCGAAATTCTCTCTTAGTCTCACCTTCCCCCTTGCCTTGCACACACCCACCTGCCTCCCGTCCTGTTCTTCCTCTGTTTTTCTACCAGGAAATGGCATCTCTGTCCACCTCTGCGTCCAAAGAGAAACCTGGAAGTAGATCTTGACACTTCTTTCTCCAGCATTCCCACTTCTAATTGATTACAAAGATATTTCTCAGTAATGTCATCTTCTCTGCACCCCGCCTCACAGCATTCTCTTCTACATCATCAAAGTCTCCCTTGAGTTCCATTTCATTTGCTTCCCTTCAGTCTGTTCTTTTCACAGCAGCCAAAGTGGCTTTTTTAAAATATAAATTAGGTCATATCACCCTGGTTTGTGTTCCCCTGTATTTTATATAAATCTAAATTCCTTCCCTGCCATGAGCCTTTCTGTCACCACTCTCCCCTCTCACTCCCCTGGTGGCCTTCTCTTTGCTTGTTTAAAGGTTCATCCTACTGTCCTGCATGCCGAGACCACTTGCAGACCAGCATCCCCTGCCTGGAATTCTATGCCTTGTTGGTTCCGTTTTTCAGGGCTTGTGTTCAGTGTTAGTTTTCAGAAATACCCTACCAGCCCCTTCCAGCTCAGATTATATTCTCCCTGTTGTTTTTTGAGTCCTTTTGAAAACCACATTTTACTCTTTATATTTGTTTTGGGCTTGTTGGGTATCTGTTTCCCTCTCTATCTTGTGCAGTAGAGGCAGGCACTGTTGTCCACTG